TTGACGTCACACCCAGGAAATTGTCCACATAAAATTGTTTGCTCATTACTTTACTCAGTGGACTTCCCGTACATTTAAGGTGTGCATTTATCGTCGCTTGAAGTAGGAACGGACTGGATGTAGCACCAAATAATACGCTCCTGAAGCAAAAGGTTTTCAGAGGGCTAAGTGGGTCACTAGGATTCTCAGGCCATAAGAAACGGGTACAATCCCGGTCAGCCTCTTGTAAACCCACTCTTAGGAAAGCTTTACTTATGTCAGAGGTAAAGGCATAATGCTTCACTCTGAAATTTAATATCTCCTAATTTTTCCGTCAAAGACGGACCTGTCATCAAACAGTCATTTAAACTAGGTACATTTTTGTTACTCCTGGCACTACAATTAAACACAATTCTCAGAGGAGTGGTCTTAGATTCCTTCTTCACTCCGTGATGTAGCAAATAGTGACCATAAATTTTGGCTTGCTCAGGAGGCACCTCTTCTATAAATTTATTAATTAACTGCTCAGCAATTATATCATTATAGACAGTTAATATTTCTGGTGTTTTACTCAGTTCGCGGAGCTGAGCCTTTAACTGTCCATATGCCATTCTGTAATTAGCGGGCAATTCTGGATGGTTCAGTCTCCACGGAAATCGTACCCAGTATTGTCCAGATTCAAATTTTACATCTCTCAGGTATTGCTCCTGAGTAAAAGAATCGTCCGGACTTTCTTCATTTACATTTATTCCAATGCTGTCTAATTCCCACAATTTATGGACTAGCTCAACAACATCCTCTATGGAAGAATTATACTGGGGTACGATTTCATGAGTAAGACACAGTTATGGTATTTGTAGTTTCCTCTAGTCATGAATTATTATTACGAGGAATCCTACCATACATTACATGGCCTCCTGCAGTCTTCAAAAGGGTGACACCACATTTCTTTACCATACCCTTTACAATGGAGGCATAATAGTCACTACCTATCAAAATATTTATTGGGCCTACAGAATCATCACTTACACCAGAAGGTGCTAAATTTACATTATGTGAAAGTCTTTCTGTAGCTTTACTAATTCCCACTGTAGATATTTTCTCTGGAAGTCTATCTACAATTACTGCATTAACACGTTTTTTCTCATTGCCCAACCTGACAGTTACATAAAAAAAGTTAACTCCTAAAAATATAGTGAAAAAATGAGGCTTTAATCATGAAGGGTTCAGAGAGAATCCAGTGAATAGAGGAAATCAATGAACAATACCCCCAAAAATTCCAAACACGGCTCCCATGGCTGCCTTCCTAGAAAAATTCTAACTAGATAATTGCGAAAAAAGTCGTAGTCCATTTCTTCCCATTGAGTTTTTACACTAAGAGGTAAAACCTCACCTCATTTTAATTCCAGTTGTTAAACGACTTGTAATAACTTTCTAGATTTAATAATTACAGATCCAAACTCTTGTTGATCTCTCTCAGTAAAGTTCTCTTTCTTAATTTAATCGGAATATGACCATTACAGGTTTTATATGAAGATTTCCAAGTTTGATCCTTGAATATTACTAAATTTTGAGTTCTTCCTCTCTAGAAAATTAACTTGAAAGTCATTTTTAATTTTTCTGAATTATTATTCCACTGTTTTAGGGGATATATTTACCGCCTGTGTTTCCTTGTCTTCTTTCCTGATATTTCATCCTGAACTATTCTTGTTTTAGTCTCTCCTTGGAAATTGAAGGATAGAGAGGAAGTAGAGCAAAACAAGACTCTTAAAGCCGATATATTTTGACAGGAGGATAGGTAAGATTCGTCAAGAAAGAGGACAAGTGTTTCCTGACGCGGGTTTTAGTCATTTAATGACCCGTCACTGGAGCTTATGGTCATCTGACCAAGACCTTCCACTGGGTTACCCTTCCACCCCTTCAAAAATTAACGTAGCACGTTTTGTAATATATATAAGGCTTTTTGATAAGACTATTACGATCATAGGGCTCTACCGGCCATAGAAACCTAGTATAGTCTCGGGCAGCTCGGTGAATGTCTATTTCTATTGTGTGGAAAATTGCATTTATCTGAATGTAACTAATTATGTACATAACAGTAAATGATAGCAAAGATAATTATTATTTATCAATGTTACATAGACAAGTAGGAATTTGGGACACCTAGGTCGCAAAAAATGTCCCCCTTCGATACCTACCACTGTCATAACCACAAGTTGCTCTGGACCTATTAATTAAATGAAATATACATACACCAGGAATACTGGTAAATATATAAATTTGTGGACTGTATATTAAAAATAATAAATGGTTATATATATACACAATTACATAACAGAAGGAAAATATATCTTAATATCACTCACCAATTTGACCGGAGATTAGAGTGTATTACACCCAGAAAACCTCACTGTCGAAATTTATGAAATTACTGGCCAGAATTAAACATAAACAGACTTCTCTGAGGTTACTGGAGCTGTCTTGTCCAGTCGCCTGATACTCAAATTATACTCAACAGACTTATCCCCCTATAATTATTGCACTCTCTTTTGTCCCCTTTGCCTTTATACAAAGGAACTATGCATGCTCTCTGCCAATCCCTAGGCACCTTACCCTCTTCCATGCATTTATTAAAAAATTGCACCAATTACTCCAAAACTATATCCCCACCTGCTTTTAACATTTCTATCTTTATCCCATCAATCCCGGCTGCCTTACCCCCTTTCATTTTACCTACTGCCTCACGAACTTCCCCCACACTCACAACTGGCTCTTCCTCACTCCTACAAGATGTTATTCCTCCTTGCCCTATACACGAAATCACAGATTTCCTATCTTCATCAACATTTAATAATTTCTCAAAATATTCCCTCCATCTTCCCAATACCTCTAACTCTCCATTTAATAACTCTCCTCTCCTGTTTTTAACTGACAAATCCATTTGTTCTCTAGGCTTCCTTAACTTGTTAATCTCACTCCAAAACTTTTCTTATTTTCAACAAAATTTGCTGATAACATCTCACCCACTCTCTCATTTGCTCTCTTTTTACATTGCTTCACCACTCTCTTAACCTCTCTCTTTTTCTCCATATACTCTTCTCTCCTTGCATCACTTCTACTTTGTAAAAACTTCTCATATGCTAACTAATTAATGACTTCACTAATTACCTCCGGTTCAAGAAGGACCAACGGGCAAATTAAATGTGGAAAATTGCATTTATCTGAATGTAACTAATTATGTACATAACAGTAAATGATAACAAAGATAATTATTATTTATCAATGTTACATAGACAAGTAGGAATTTGGGACACGTAGGTCGCAAAAAATGTTCCCCTTCGATACCTACCACTGTCATAACCACAAGTTGCTCTGGACCTATTAATTAAATGAAATATACATACGCCAGGAATACTGGTAAATATATAAATTTGTGGACAGTATATTAAAAATAATAAATGGTTATATATATATACACAATTACATAACAGAAGGAAAATATATCTTAATATCACTCACCAATTTGACTGGAGATTAATGTGTATTATACCCAGAAAACCTCACTGTCTAAATTTATGAAATTACTGGCCAGAATTAAACATAAACAGACTTATCTGAGGTTCTTGGAGCTCTCTGACGTCCAGTCGCCTGATTCTCAAATTATGCAGGAATGCACATCCAACAATTTCGCCACCTCTAGAGCACGAAAAATTCTTCCCATTCACTCTAACGTTCTGTTCAATTCAAAACCAAGATGGCGACTCTCGTCTGCGCAGACGCAGGTTTTCCGTTTTCTATGACATAAATATTATTAAATACCGTATGGCCATCTCTTTACATATAAATACTGAATTTCTGGAAAATATATACAATATTTTCCACATTATGTCTCGATCCCATAGTTTGTAAACATGTTTCAAGTGGCGATTTCAAGTACTAGGGTACAAATTCTGTAGTAATATTTGTGGTCACTACAGTTGGGGAGATAATTTCTACAAATTCTGTAGTAATATTTTTGGTCACTACAGTTGGGCAGATAATTTCTAACATATCATGAGGATAGGGGATCATTTGACCTCCTAAAGTATTCAACAAGGAAATTCCATCCTTGTTTATCATATTTCTAACAAAGGATGAATAATATTCACTCACAATCAAAATTCTGAGTGATCTTACTGCTCCTTGTTCAATATCTCTGATAGCTAGGCTAACATTCCCTTTTGCGAGCAGTTAAACTGCGTCATATAAAGTATTCTTGGTGATCTTGACGAGTCATCAGTTCAGGACTACGACTGACACTCTTGCGTCTTCCCAGCTATACTATTATATTTATAGTACCGTATTGCTGAGTATAGATACCAGTCAAGAAGCCTGACGATTTAAATTTTATAGGTTTTCCAGGAGGGTATCTAAGCCTCTTGAGCATGATCTTATAAATAATTTAAACCGATCACATAAGTCAATATCACTTATAATAGGGATTCCACTTAAGTTTTACTTATGTTATTTTACTACATAAAAAATTTCCTGCATGCAAATGAAAACTAATTTATACCATCCTGGTCCTCAGATGCATCAATAATGAAACTTTTCAGAAGAGGAAAACTGGAATAAAAGATCTACATTATTTTACACATAAAATGGTTATCTTTGTACCAACATCTTTAACTCTCCGCTGTCATCAAATCAAGAAGGAATTATTCTTTAACGTTTGAAGCTTTGTAACTGAGGATTGTGGAAGTTATCCCAGCCAATTAATTAGGTTCAACAGCTTTGGTCACAGAACACGTGACAGTGCCAGTTGTTTCATTAACTTCGTCTTCTTTACTGTACACTAGCAATGGCAATAAAGAAGCCGACTGGATGAGACATTCTCGAGGTATGAGCGAAATCAGATCAAAAGGCTGAAAGAAGAAAACGTCAGACAACATCTTGTGGGTCTCCTTCCGCGCATACCTAATAATTTAACCATCCACGCGCTAGATGGCAGTGATGGCCACCTGTGAATAGTAACGTTCATAGCAAAAGCTAGATGGCAGTAATGGTGGATGGTGTTAAACAACAGTCAATGTGTCAGTTCTCTGCCAACAGTGTCGCTACTGACCTTAGTAACATCGCTTCACAATACTTTCGTCTCGCGTCTGACAACACTGTACGAGATCATCAAGCCAGAGCTCATTGTTTCAGGTATGTTTTGATAAATATTTTGTACCTGGTAATACCAGCTGACATGCAACTTAAAAACAGTTCACAGTCAGTATAAGAGGAGAATATCATTAGAAATGATAGTATATTTGACTGGTCGTAGTCAGGGTGTAAGCAGCTCTAACGACCATCGTGTTGACGATAGGATTTGAAAGTAATTAGCTAACCAAAGGGTTCATAATCTCAAATTGCATATCCCCATATCGAATAGTCCGAAATGAATAAGAAAGTAAGTGGTTAATACAGATTCAAGCCTGTCTACTACACGAGTGCCACTGATTACCCAAAGTGAAGATAACTTTAATTGCAGTAGTAGTGATTAAGACAAATTGTATATATACACTGAGAAACTTCTCCCTGTGGGTGGGTGTAGGGGTGTTAGAGAGAGCGGAAGAGTGAGAGAGCGAAAAAGGGACATCAAAAGAGATCGAAAAAGATCGAGAAAGAGCGAGCGAGGGAAAGAGAGGGAGAGGGAGCGAGCGAGGGAAAGAGAGGGAGAGGGAGCGAGCGAGGGAAAGAGAGGGAGAGGGAGCGAGCGAGGGAAAAGAGAGGGAGAGGGAGCGAGCGAGGGAAAGAGAGGGAGAGGGAGCGAGCGAGGGAAAGAGAGGGAGAGGGAGCGAGCGAGGGAAAGGAGGGAGAGGGAGCGAGCGAGGGAAAGAGAGGGAGAGGGAGCGAGCGAGGGAAAGAGAGGGAGAGGGAGCGAGCGAGGGAAAGAGAGGGAGAGGGAGCGAGCGAGGGAAAGAGAGGGAGAGGGAGCGAGCGAGGGAAAGAGAGGGAGAGGGAGCGAGCGAGGGAAAGAGAGGGAGAGGGAGCGAGCGAGGGAAAGAGAGGGAGAGGGAGCGAGCGAGGGAAAGAGAGGGAGAGGGAGCGAGCGAGGGAAAGAGAGGGAGAGGGAGCGAGCGAGGGAAAGAGAGGGAGAGGGAGCGAGCGAGGGAAAGAGAGGGAGAGGGAGCGAGCGAGGGAAAGAGAGGGAGAGGGAGCGAGCGAGGGAAAGAGAGGGAGAGGGAGCGAGCGAGGGAAAGAGAGGGAGAGGGAGCGAGCGAGGGAAAAGAGAGGGAGAGGGAGCGAGCGAGGGAAAGAGAGGGAGAGGGAGCGAGCGAGGGAAAGAGGAGGGAGAGGGAGCGAGCGAGGGAAAGAGAGGGAGAGGGAGCGAGCGAGGGAAAGAGAGGGAGAGGGAGCGAGCGAGGGAAAGGGGAGAGGGAGCGAGCGAGGGAAAGAGGGGGAGAGGGAGCGAGCGAGGGAAAGAGAGGGAGAGGGAGCGAGCGAGGGAAAGAGAGGGAGAGGAGCGAGCGAGGGAAAGAGAGGGAGAGGGAGCGAGCGAGGGAAAGAGAGGGAGAGGGAGCGAGCGAGGGAAAGAGAGGGAGAGGGAGGGAGCGGGGGAAAGAGAGGGAGCGAGGGAAAGAGAGGGAGCGAGGGAAAGAGGGAGAGGGAGGGGAGAGAGGGAAAGAGAGGGAGAGGGAGGGAGCGAAAGAAAGAGAGGGAGAGGGAGGGGAGCGAGGGAAAGAGAGGGAGAGGGAAAGGGAGCGAGGGAAAGAGAGGGAGAGGGAGGGAGCGAGGGAAAGAGAGGGAGAGGGAGGGAGCGAGGGAAAGAGAGGGGAGAGGGAGGAGCGAGGGAAGAGAGGGAGAGGGAGGGAGCGAGGAAAGAGAGGGAGAGGGAGGGAGCGAGGGAAAGAGAGGGAGGGAGCGATGGAATGAGAGGGAGGGAGCGATGGAATGAGAGGGAGGGAGCGAGGGAAGAGAGGGAGGGAGCGAGGGAAAGAGAGAGAGGGAGGGAGCGAGGGAAAGAGAGGGAGGGAGCGAGGGAAAGAGAGGGAGGGAGCGAGGGAAAGAGAGGGAGGGAGCGAGGGAAAGAGAGGGAGGGAGCGAGGGAAAGAGAGGGAGGGAGCGAGGGAAAGAGAGGGAGGGAGCGAGGGAAAGAGAGGGAGGGAGCGAGGGAAAGAGAGGGAGGGAGCGAGGGGAAAGAGAGGGAGGGGAGCGAGCGAGGGAAAGAGAGGGGGGAGGGAGGGAGCGAGGGAGGGAGAGGGAGCGAGGTGTGTGGGGAGAAGATAATGTGATAAGATACTGAATTTCCGAAAAAAAAAAATTAAATCAACGTTTGAAGTTCAAGTTAAATATAATTTATTATCAAGATTTAGAATGATTAAAAAAATATTTAAGAAATTATCAGCAAAAATGGAATTAAACACCATGGGTGCCAGCATGGTTTATCTAGGGGGGGAGGGTGCCAGCATGGTTTATCTAGGGGGGGAGGGTGCCAGCATGGTTTATCTAGGGGGGGGAGGGGTGCCAGCATGGTTTATCTAGGGAGGAGGGTGCCAGCATGGTTTATCTAGGGGGGAGGGTGCAGCATGGTTTATCTAGGGGGGGGTGCCAGCATGGTTTATCTAGGGGGGAGGGTGCCAGCATGGTTTATCTAGGGGGGGGTGCCAGCATGGTTTATCTAGGGGGGGGTGCCAGCATGGTTTATCTATGGGGGGGGGTGCCAGCATGGTTTATCTAGGGGGGAGGGTGCCAGCATGGTTTATCTAGGGGGGAGGGTGCCAGCATGGTTTATCTAGGGGAGAAGGGTTTCCAGCATGGTTTATCTAGGGGGGAGGGTGCCAGCATGGTTTATCTAGGGGGGGGTGCCAGCATGATTTATCTAGGGGGGAGGGTGCCAGCATGGTTTATCTAGGGGGGTGCCAGCATGGTTTATCTAGGGGGGAGGGGTGCCAGCATGGTTTTATCTAGGGGGGAGGGTTGCCAGCATGGTTTATCTAGGGGGGAGGGTGCCAGCATGGTTTATTAGGGGGGGGTGCAGCATGGTTTATCTAGGGGGGAGGGTGCCAGCATGGTTTATCTAGGGGAGGAGGGTGCCAGCATGGTTTATCTAGGGGGGAGGGTGCCAGCATGGTTTATCTAGGGGGGGGTGCCAGCATGGTTTATCTAGGGTGGGTGCCAGCATGGTTTATCTAGGGGGGAGGGTGCCAGCATGGTTTATCTGGGGGGGAGGGTGCCAGCATGGTTTATCTAGGGGGGGGAGGGTGCCAGCATGGTTTATCTAGGGGGGAGGGTGCCAGCATGGTTTATCTAGGGGGGGGTGCCAGCATGGTTTATCTAGGGGGGAGGGTGCCAGCATGGTTTATCTAGGGGGGGAGGGTGCCAGCATGGTTTATCTAGGGGGGGAGGGTGCCAGCATGGTTTATCTAGGGGGGGAGGAGGGTGCCAGCATGGTTTATCTAGGGGGGGAGGGTGCCAGCATGGTTTATCTAGGGGGGGAGGAGGGTGCCAGCATGGTTTATCTAGGGGGAGGAGGGTGCCAGCATGGTTTATCTAGGGGGGGAGGAGGGTGCCAGCATGGTTTTATCTTGGGGGGGAGGGTGCCAGCATGGTTTATCTAGGGGGGAGGAGGTTGCCAGCATGGTTTATCTAGGGGGTGAGGGTGCCAGCATGGTTTATCTAGGGAGGAGGGTGCCAGCATGGTTTATCTATGGGGTGAGGGTGCCAGCATGGTTTATCTAGGGAGGAGGGTGCCAGCATGGTTTATCTAGGGGGGGAGGAGGGGGTGCCACCATGGTTTATCTAGGGGGGGGAGGGTGCCAGCATGGTTTATTAGGGGGGTGCCAGCATGGTTTACCTAGGTGGGGGTGCCAGCATGGTTTACCTAGGGGGAAGGGTGCCGGCATGGTTTACCTGGGTGGGGAGGGTGCCAGCATGGTTTACCTAGGGGGGAGGGTGCCAGCATGGTTTACCTAGGGGGGAGGGTGCCTGCATGGTTTACCTAGGGGGAGGGTGCCAGCATGGTTTACCTAGAGGGGAAGGGTGTCAGCATGGTTTACCTAGGGCGGAGGGTGCCAGCATTGTTTACCTAGGGGGGAGGGTGCCAGCATTGTTTACCTAGGGGGAGGGTGCCAGCATTGTTTACCTAGGGGGGAGGGTGCCAGCATGGTTTACCTAGGGAGGGTGCCAGCATGGTTTACCTAGGTGGGGTGCCAGCATGGTTTACCTAGGGCGAAGGGTGCCAGCATGGTTTACCTAGTTGGGAAGGGTGTCAGCATGGTTTACCTAGGTGGGGAGGGTGCCAGCATGGTTTACCTAGGGGGGAGGGTGCCAGCATGGTTTACCTAGGGGGGAAGGGTGTCAGCATGGTTTACCTAGGAGGGGAGGGTGCCAGCATGGTTTACCTAGGGGGGAGGGTGCCAGCATGGTTTACCTAGGGGGGACGGTGACAGCATGGTTTACCTCGGGGGAGGGTGCCAGCATGGTTTACCTAGGGGGGAGAGTGCCAGCATGGTTTACCCAGGGGGGGAGGTGCCAGCATGGTTTACCTAGGGGGGGGAGGGTTTCCAGCATGGTTACCTAGGGGGGGGAGGGTGCCAGCGTGGTTTACCTAGGGGGGATGGTGACAGCATGGTTTACCTAGGGGGGAGGGTGCAATATGGTTTTCCTAGGAGAGGGTGCCAGCATGGTTTACCAAGGTGGGGGAGGGTGCCAGCATCGTTTACCTGGGGGGAAGGGTGCCAGCATGGTTTACCCAGGTGGGTGCCAGCATGGTTTACCTAGGGGGGGGGTGCCAGCATGGTTTACCTAGGGGGGAGCGTGCCAGCATGGTTTACTTAGGGGGGAGCGTGCCAGCATGATTTACCTAGGGAGGAGGGTGCCAGTATGGTTTACCTAGGGGGGAAGTTGCCAGCATGGTTTACCTAGGAAGGAGGGAGACAGCATGGTTTACCTAGGGGGTTGTGACAGCATGGTTTACCTATGGGGAGGGTGACAGCATTGTTTACCTAGGGGAGAGGGTGACAGCATGGTTTTCCTAGGGGGGAGGGTGAGAGCATGGTTTACCTATGGGGAAAGTGACAGTATGGTTTTCCTAGGGGGGGAGGGTGCAGCATGGTTTACTTAGGGGGGGAGGGTGACGGTATGGTTTACCTACGGGGAGGGTGACAGTATGGTTTACCTAGGGGGGGGAGGGTGCCAGCATGGTTTACTAGGGGGGAGGGTGGCAGCATGGTTTACCTAGGGGAAGAATGACAGCATGGGTTTCCTAGGGGGGTGACGGCATGGTTTACCTAGGGGGGAGGGTGACAGTATGGGTTTTCCTAGGGGGGGAGGGTGAGAGCATGGGTTGCTTAGGGGGGAGGGTGAGAGCATGGGTTGCCTAGAGGGGAGGGTTGAGAGCATGGGTTTGCCTAGAGGGGGAGGGTGGAGCATGGGTTGCCTAGAGGGGGAGGGTTGAGAGCATGGGTTGCCTAGAGGGGTCAGAGCATGGGTTGCTTAGGGCGGTGAAGGTGAGACCATGGGTTGCCTATTGCGGTGAGGGTGAGAGCATGGGTTGCCTTGGACGGTGAATGTGAGAGCATGGGTTGCCTAGGGCGGTGAATGTGAGAGCATGGGTTGCCTAGGGCGGCGAGGGTGAGAGCATGGGTTGGCTAGGGCGGTGAGGGTGAGAGCATGGGTTGGCTAGGGCGGTGAGGGTGAGAGCATGGGTTGGCTAGGGCGGTGAGGGTGAGAGCATGGGTTGGCTACGGCGGTGAGGGTGAGAGCATGGGTTGGCTAGGGCGGTGAGGGAGAGAGCATGGGTTGCCTAGGGCGGTGAGGGTGAGAGCATGGGTTGCCTAGGGCGGTGAGGGTGAGAGCATGGGTTGCCTAGGGCGGTGAGGGTGAGAGCATGGGTTGCCTAGGGCGGTGAGGGTGAGAGCATGGGTTGCCTAGGGCGGTGAGGTGAGAGCATGGGTTGCCTAGGGCGTTGAGAGTGAGAGCATGGGTTGCTAGGGCGTTGAGAGTGAGTGCATGGGTTGCCTAGGGCGGTGAGGGTGAGAGCATGGGTTGCCTAGGGCGGTGAGGGTGAGAGCATGGGTTGCCTAGGGCGGTGAGGGTGATAGCATGGGTTGCCTAGGGCGGTGAAGGTGAGAGCATGGGTTGCCTAGGGCGGTGAGGGTGAGAGCATGGGTTGCCTAGGGCGGTGAGGGTGAGAGCATGGGTTGCCTTGGGCGGTGAGGGTGAGAGCATGGGTTGCCTAGGGCGGTGAGGGTGAGAGCATGGGTTGCCTAGGGCGGTGAGGGTGAGAGCATGGGTTGCCTAGTGCGGTGAGGGTGAGAGCATGGGTTGCCTAGGGCGGTGAGGGTGAGAGCATGGGTTGCCTAGGGCGGTGAGGGTGAGAGCATGGGTTGCCTAGGGCGTTGAGAGTGAGAGCATGGGTTGCCTAGGGCGTTGAGAGTGAGTGCATGGGTTGCCTAGGGCGGTGAGGGTGAGAGCATGGGTTGCCTAGGGCGGTGAGGGTGAGAGCATGGGTTGCCTAGGGCGGTGAGGGTGATAGCATGGGTTGCCTAGGGCGGTGAAGGTGAGAGCATGGGTTGCCTAGGGCGGTGAGGGTGAGAGCATGGGTTGCCCAGGGCGGTGAGGGTGAGAGATGGGTTGCCTTGGGCGGTGAGGGTGAGAGCATGGGTTGCCTAGGGCGGTGAGGGGTGAGAGCATGGGTTGCCTAGGGCGGTGAGGGTGAGAGCATGGGTTGCCTAGGGCGGTGAGGGTGAGAGCATGGGTTGCCTAGGGCGGTGAGGGTGAGAGCATGGGTTGCCTAGGGCGGTGAGGGTGAGAGCATGGGTTGCCCAGGGCGGTGAGGGTGAGAGCAAGGGTTGCTTGGGCGGCGAGGGTGAGTGCATGGGTTGCCTAGGGCGGCGAGGGTGAGAGCATGGGTTGCCTATGGCGGTGATGGTGAGAGCATGGGTTGCCTAGGGCGGTGATGGTGAGAGCATGGGTTGCCTAGGGCGGTGATGGTGAGAACATGGGTTGCCTAGGGCGGTGATGGTGAGAGCATGGGTTGCCTAGGGCAGTGATGGTGAGAGCATGGGTTGCCTAGGGCAGTGATGGTGAGAGCATGGGTTGCCTAGGGCGGTGAGGGTGAGAGCATGGATTGTGTAGGTGGGAAGGTTGGCAGCAGCACGGGTTGCTGAGGGAGAGGGGGTGGCTGCAGCGTGGGTTGCCTAGAAAGAGAGGGTGGCAGCATGGGTTGCTGAGGGGGGGGAGAGTGGCAGCAGCATGGGTTGCCTAGGGCGGGGGAGGGTGTATAACCAGTTTGTTTGGTGTTCTGGTAGCGGGGTGTAAATGATACGTCTTCGGAGGCTTCTTACTTTACTGTAATGTCGTGGTGGGTACACAGGCTTGTGTGTTGTGCCCATAGCTCGGGAGGGCCATGCCCACGAGGGAGAGAGTAGACAGTTCTTGACTGAGTGAAGGGTGTCGCCAGATTGAGAGCGAGGCAAGGGCAGGCAGGCTGGCGTGCCCACAGAGGCCTGGCTGCAGAGGGCAGCACTTTAGTGGCTCGAAATATGGACAAAGCTGGCAGACAGGCTGTCTGTGCAGAGAGTACAGGCTGTCTACAGGTGGCAGCAGTATGGTTTGCCCAGGGGGGGGGGAGGGTGGCCAGAACATGGATTGCCAAGGGGGAGAGGGTGGCAGCATGGGTTGGTTACAACTTCTGGGGTTGACTAGTAGCATGGGTTGGTCACTACCACTGGGGTTGGCCGGTGTTGCGTCCTCTGATTGGACAAATGGTTAATAATTAATATTGTGTGCATATATTTTGCTATTCGCTTAATACTATATTACTGATGGCATTATTATTAGCTAAAATAATGTCTCTTGTGCTTTATAGTATTATCTTCCCTTACATTGTTAGCTATGTTGATAGGTAGGATGTTTATTTTAAGTGATAGGCACTACACTGAGTAGCAACCTGGTTCACTGTCGTTAAGTTGTTAGTGTCTGGTGGTCCCTTCCACCGTCAGTGTCACGAGGTATTGTAAGTCTTAAGAGTAGTCTCAAGAGTCTGGGCTTGCATAGCCAAGGGAGCATACCTCACTCAGTTATTCATTGACCTCTCATAAGAGACATGTCAAGTTCTCTTGTGGTCGTTTTCCTTTCATACTCGACTCCCTTTCTTAAGCTTGTCACTTTCGAGTTATTTATTCTCCAGCGAATTAATCTTTCAGTTGACTGAACAAGCCTTGTTGGCCATGTGGGTAAATTTGTGGTCTATGCTATTCTAAGTCATGCTGAATGGGAATGAGACTAAGTCCGTCACTTACGAGTTCTGGTATATTCTGAATTGATAGTTCAGCTAAGTCTTTATAAGCATTGTAAGTTACTTTGTGGATAAATCTTAATAACCATTATAGGTGCATATTACTGGTGAACTTATTACAAAGTTCGACCTCGAGAGGTTCATTTATTCATATCAATGTACTGGTACGTACAAAGAGAAATGAAGTTTTAAACTCCTTATTTTATGTTAATCCTAACATTATATCATACATTAAGCTTAAACCTACTAGTCAAGATTCTAAGTTATTTGTTTCGTAATTCTGAATTCTTATTCAAAGTTATTGTTACAAAACCGTAAACAGGCCATATGTTCAACAAGAATTCTACCTTAACACTACCATACCATTGGAAAAGGTTAAGAAGACGAGTTTTGTAACAGCTGGCAGCATGGGTTGGTCACTTCGGCTGGGGTTTGGCTGGCAGCATTGGCTTGGTCACTTCAGCTGGGGTTTGGCTGGCAGCATTGGCTTGGTCACTTCGGCTGGGGTTTGGCTGGCAGCATTGGCTTGGTCACTTCGGCTGGGGTTTGGCTGGAAGCATTGGCTTGGTCACTTCGGCTGGGGTTTGGCTGGAAGCATTGGCTTGGTCACTTCGGCTGGGGTTTGGCTGGCAGCATTGGCTTGGTCACTTCGGCTGGGGTTTGGCTGGAAGCATTGGCTTGGTCACTTCGGCTGGGGTTTGGCTGGAAGCATTGGGTTACTGTGCTGGACGAGTTTCATTCATATTTCACCCACTACACCTCCCCATGTACTTAGTCATGGGTGTAGACAAAATGAGGGACAGTATTTCTTTCCGGCAAGATGCTTAACAGCAGAATTGTAGTAGAAACCAACATGTCGAGCCGAGTTTGACACTGCTCGATCCTCTTATGAAGTGTAGCAGCAGAGCCTTTGAAAGGGTGCGGGAGGGTTCAGCCTGTTCTTTCGTCCTGAGCCCAGCTGTGAATCTCTGAAGGGAACCTATTGCCGCAGACGATGTGATCACGTCGACTCAAGGCTGAGGGACAGATTACCTCAAACTGTTCCTGTTTTTCACCATTCTCCTTTGTATGGACAGATGAATCCACTGTGGCGAAATGTTTACTCATTTAAGATACGCAAATGTTGCACACGTCTTAATTTATCAAACAGCAGGGTGCCCACTTTCCCTCGCCCCAGTGTTCATAACTGACTAGAATTTGTTGGCAGCTCAAGAGCAGTTGTAAATACGTATACATATACTTACGCGCACAAATACACAAGTAAACGTATAAAAATATGAAACGTATGTGATTTTGTACTTCGCAATACTGGAATTGCATGACCACCATCCACTGTCTTTTGATTGAAATGAGGTAGAGGAGGCTGAGCTAAATGAAATACGGGGATAAACATAAACACATCTAGTGATGTATATGCGTTATCGTATGTAGAGCACAAATGGTTGTTTCTTGCTGGTAACTATTAGTTTCTGGAAGCAGCTATGAAACTATGCATGGCTTGTAACAGTGTTTGAATTCAAAACCTACAAATCAGTTTAATTTATTTCAGTGCTTTCAAATAAGACGATATCCAGACATCACCATGAACCTCTGCACTGATCCTACACTGGATGTTACCACAGCCATCCCTGGTGTCTGGGGTAATGGACGCAACTCCCACAAGCCCAGTGAATTTGAAGTCATGTCGCCACCAGGTTACAACTCTCAAAATTTGCCAAACAGGTGAGGTTTTTGTTTTATGAGAACTAGTTTTTTTTTTTTGACTGTTTCATTAGGTCGGCTCACTCTGAATCTCATATTTCTCGAAAACCTTTAAAAATACGATCTAGTATCAGACGTTTCTCACCATCTTTAGTTTCCAATGAATATTATACAATATCTGTAAAATATATAAATGCCTAATTTTGCGTTTTAAATATCTTGAGGTCTTTCAGTATCTTGTATTTATAGATTTTGTTATGTAAATTCAATTTTAAAGTCTGCAGCCGTATTATAGCTACATAGACCTTATTGTGCTGTGAACATCCTTATAGCGTTGTGGTGCACCCTTGTTGTGCTGTGATTTTATTATTATTATTAAAATATTCGCCGGTATTCTCCCGGCCCGGGCCTTTTCCAAGTGGTGGCCCGGCCTTGACTCCCTCTTTAGGGAGTGTCTGAGACCTAAGTCTCCCATGGGAGGAGGCACAAGTACCTCCTCATCTTTGGGACCAACTGTCCCTAGGCCTAGCCACAAGCTAGGCCTCTCTGGTCTGCCATCCCCGCCACAAGGGGGCTAATGGGAATGACAGTCTTATGAGCTAAAGGCTCGGGCTCAGGCACCTTACCCTACCCTAGAAGGGCTGGGCATGGTGTCGATTGCTGTGATTTGACGAACTTGAGTACCTCAGAAAGATCTCACCAGCTCATTTCTCTTCCTAAAATACTTGCTGTGACAGAACCTATTCTTAATTACTAATTGTAATTTTTTTTTAATACCAGTAATAATGTGCTACGTTATGATATAGGCGAGTACAAATAGAAAGTTCGTCACTATAACACTCGGCAAAACAGGTTTAGCGCTTAAAATTAATCATTTTAATTAAGATTGATAATTATATATGTAATAAGGCAGTACTCTAGTGTACTGGAAGTCAATATTGACAGCTTCAAACTGCTGATATCTGAAAATTAATAACAGTGAATTAAAGAAAGTTACCCTTTTTATTTTCTGCATTTTAAATCACTTTAATCATATTAATTATCTCCCTTTCACTACTCTTCCTTTTTTATAGGTATAAATAAAACATTTAAATTTCCAGCGCATATGATTAACATTTTTTTTAATCTGCCACTTACGCTATTTGCTGTCACACCACTAATGGAATAGGATCGTGAATGGGAGAAAATGTTAATTATCTGATTACGTAAATACCACTGAAAGCTGCTTACATATTAAAGGATTGAAAGTTGTGCATTTATTTCCTTTGCTTATTAATTGATCCATAAAGTGTACACCACTGTTGTTCCTGGTTTATATGGGCAACATTGTGAAACACTTATTCCATTCAGGCGAAGCCATCCCAGTGATTGTACATTAGTGAGTAGTTCCCAGAGAAGGTAATACCTTGGATGCTTTTACAGTGCGTATGTTTTATAATGGATTAGTGTTCCTTTACAGTTTTAGCGTAAAGTTCCTATTTTTTGTTCCTTTCTAGCGCTTCTTTTTGATTATAATAATAATTTGTTCCTTTCCACTTCTCTGTTGACGTTTTTTTTAATCATTATTGTGATTACTGGAAGCTGGTCTCTTGTATACTGTGATAAGTCGAGACAGATCAGCATTATCTCAAAGCAGAATCTTGATAAATATTGAGGAATCGTGACTCCATGGTATCTTAAGCATGAAAGGGAAGATATTTGCTTTGTTAACGCTTAACTAAAAAGATTAAAGACATTTTAATGGCAAAATTAATGTGGTACAGCAGTTCTTCAGGTTCCTGAAATAGTCTTACACTTGCTTCACTATCTTATGATAGCCACAGTTAGTTAATTTTTTTACGGTAGCAACCCAAAGTCTGACTCGTATGGTTATCTGATTGCTATTACAGGCCCTGGTCTGATTTCAGCCCCTCCCCCACCCCTCTTTTCATTTGGAAGGCGACTCTGTAGGCATCCCATCGAAGGGCTCTCTTCCTGTATTGTAAACAAGGATAATTTTTGTGTTGCTTAGGTCATATCCAAACATGACACATTTTCGCTATTTTATTACGGAAATTTTGCGTACAGATTTCTGTTGGTATAATTCGAGTCATTGGCCTGATGGTGGGCACTTTTGTTGTGCGTTTGGAGGATATTTTTACTTGCAGGTTTTCATGCCACTTGAAGATGAATTACATGCCCATGTATATTAGGATCCGGCTTCAGCGGGCCTAGATTAAGTCTGTACAGGAAGCTAGACATTGTGGAGCGATGTGTTAGCCTAATATCCATCAAATCTCATTGGACAGTCAGGTAATAAAGACTTCAGGATTTTTGCAAGGCCGTTCCGTTCTCAAGAATTAGTGACCCACTTCAGAAAGTGTTGCCATTAAGTATTTGAAAGTGTCTTGGCGTAGTTTCTCCATGGTTGCTAGAGTTGCGTCAGGGAGGGAATCCAGGTGTTGCTGCTGCTTGAAGGATTCAGGAAGGTGAGTGGTGCTCTAATGGACACTTAACTGGTCCTGTGGTTCGATTTTCCCTACCATCCCACCTAAATGCTTCTCCGTTGATATAAACGGGATACGAAGTCGTACAATTCTTCACGTTCCATTAATTTAGTCATCAGCGGTCATCAGTTTTTGAGTCTTCGACTGGGGAATGACCTATTGATGTAACTGAAGTTTAACGTTCATCGTCTTATCCAGACTGAGACTGCGGGGTAGTCTCTTCCGGTTCTCCAACGGTTTCTTGCTGGTTCGTGCTTCATTCTACAAGCAGGCGTATCCTCTGGAAGAGGGTCTCACAAAGCAGCATTCCGTACATAGCATGGTTTTATTGCAGTCAGGGATGAATGATCGTGTTATCCATGGTGTCAAGGCTTCCTTGAATGCTGGCGATCTCTAAGTGTATTTCAAGGAGTGTGCTTCTGATATGACCAGTCAGACTTCAGAGAAAGTTGCTTCTAACAGTTATTGATTTTCTACTTGTAACCTTCGAAGAAGAGACTTGCGGTAGTCTAGATTTATATGGTCAGAAGGGTTGACTTCTCTTCCTGCTCCCCATCGACGGTGCTTGAGGTCGACTTTCCAAGAAATGGATTGTCCCACAATTTTCTAGTCCCACTGATGAGATTGGTTAATTTCTTGAATTAGTTTGTTCGTGATTTAAGAATAAGATTTCTACTAATGGGTGAAAGAGTGAAGGTAAAGGCTTTGCTGTGATTACTGGAAAGGACTTACAACCTTGCACACAGCTACTAAGAGAATCCTGTGTGTATTGTGAAGTTCCTGGCAATCCTTGCTCCTCTTGCCCTGATAGCGAAATTAGTAGGTTCTCTGATCCCTATATACTTGGATTTCCAATGTACAATATCTTCCCTGTTGTGGAGAAATTTTCTCCAGGAGGGGGGTAACAGCCCCTTTCAGCCCTGAGGGGCCCAGCCCTCTCAGAAGGGGGCAAACATCTTGTTTACTGTTACGGCAAGTAATTGATCCCAGATGCAGTACAAGTATGTGAGGTGGTCAAGCGACCGCCGCTCCTTGCAAGAGTCCAGTGTTGCAAAGTGTAGTTTAATAAAACAGTCATCTCTTACCTTAGCAGGACAATTAAGGAAAACCCTGCTTCCACTTTATTACCATGGTAAAGATAGTGGACATTGTTGTCTATGCTTAAGACAGCAAGAATCGAGCATTCTGCTTTGCTTCATGGAGGAAATTTGGCAAGGAAGCAAAAAGTACTAGGTCAGCTTTTCCTTTATGTTCGAGGGGCATCGGAGTGGCGTAGGGCGCTGTGAGGTCAGATTACTTTTCACCCTACTGGGAGTCACACTGATGCCAGGATAACCAACAAAGAACACTGATCCGTGCATTAGTGTGAACAAAGTGTCTTGCAAAACACAATAAACACTTAGAGAAGTGTGATCAGCTTCTTCAGTGATAAGATTGTGAACAATAAAGACAAACCTTGTGGAACAGTGTACCAGTGTGCGTATTCCTAGACTATGGAAGACGGACATCCAAGGACACTTCAGCTTCTATCAAGACACCGATATCTGTCGAGGGTGTAAAGAACACCATAGCTCGTGCTACAAGATCAAGGTGGGTTATGAATTTCTTGTAGTACGGGGGACTACGCAGTTCTTGTGTCGCAAGGAGTTTGTAATCAACCTATAGTTGGCAGTGAGGTGCGGACTTTTGAGTCCACACAAGTACGTACGTCAGCCATCAGTGAATGAAATATGCTGACATAACACCCCCTAGGGGTTATTTATTATTAACATATAATCTTTTACAGCCCGTTAAGAAGTGGATGAGACTGCTTTTCAAGACCTCGTCTGCAGGGGCGGCTGTGTGGACGATAACTGTCTTATCAACTAAGCACTCCCTATATTTAATCTTTAACCTTAGCTGATAAACCATTTCTCAACACCTGGTGCAAAATGCTTCTATCTACCCAATGATCCAGGAATGGTTAGCTGGTCTTCATGTGCAGCACAAGGCTGTATGGTTCCATTGGTGCCTGGGCAATTTTGGTGTTCTGGGAAATGAGTGGGCAAATGAAGACAAATGTAGACAAAGGCTGCTGTTTCGAGCCAATTATAGCAAGCTATTGCTTCAGTGAATTCATGAGATCATACCTTTGTATGTCCTTGAAGTGACTCGTTTAGCAGGACAAGGTATTGGCCCTCCTTCAACAGGAATAGTCACTTAGACTAATCTGTCAGTTGGTGGGTGGGCACACCTCGCCCACAGCTGCTTATTATGAGGTGTTCACTCCCCTTCTGTGTAGTACATGCCGTGCCGCTGACAGTGAAACATAATTTAAATTTACCCATAACTTAGACCATTTCCGTTACTGTCCTGGAGTTGATAAAAACAGCAGTGCGCTTATTAATTTTGGCAGTGATGAAATAAAGCAATTTATTTGGAAATTTTGTTAATTTGAAAATACACGCCAATAATGTAACATAATTGATTTATAAGCATTGCTTTTATAAGCATTGCTTTTATAAGCATTGCTCCACGCTTAGATAAATACATGAG